CTTCCTGCCTCCATCCTTTCATCTTCCCAGAACACAGTTCTCCACACAGAACCAGGAATAAGTCTCCTGTAAGGTTCAGAGCACAGCCTGTCTGACCACCCCAAAACCAAAGGGCTAAGCAAAGTCTGACAGTTGCAGAGCTGGTAGCAAGGGGGTATCCATGGCGAAGTGTGGAACACTGTTCTGTGGGATGAGTTAAGAGACTTGGAGGGGAAATCTTCTTTCCTCCTCCCTCCAGATATCATAAATTACTGGTCTTTCCTGCACTCAAACTGCTTGTGGGCATAATAAAAATAAGACAGAGGCCACTTGAGTCGACGTGAACACCCTGGCCTTCTCCTGACAGTGCCGCATCGCCCAGGAGTGAGGACCAATCCCAGGACCAAACCCACTTTCCAATGATGTAAGCTAAGGCAGGCTGGAGAGACATGCTCAGATGGCATCACACAGGGCAGCACATCGGGGGCTCTGAGCTTGAGCCCCCCGCCCCCAGCACTGCCATAGGGAGCCCTGCAGCCCCCGAGGACTATCAGGCTGAGTACAGGCCTGCATAGTGGTGCTGAGCATCTCACCTCTAAGGATGAGGCACCTGTGAGAAAGTGATGCCAGGCTGGAGAGACAGAACAGTGGGCAGGGCATTTTCCTTGCGTGCATCTGACCTGAGTTGGATCCCTGACATCCCATATGACATCCCACACCCACTGTTACCTCCCCAGGAGTGATCCCTCCGCACAGAGCCAGGAGTAAGCCCTAATCACCACCGGGTGTGGCCCCCTAAAAAAACAAAGAATAAATTCATGCACATGCTAAGCACAAAGTGTTTTTCCCACCTGTCCCCCCGACAGTGCTCCCCTGTGTGCTCACGTGTATTTTGGGGCGAAGAGTGGGACAGGCTGTCCTCTGGCCTGTAGGACAAGGGTTAGTCCTGGGTCCCCAGACACCCACAACCAACCCTCAGCAGGACTCTGGCCCCAGAGGGGCCCGAGCTTCTGTGTGACCACTGTCCACCGCCTCAGCACCGCACTGCAGATGCCACTGGACAGAACGGTTAGAAGCGTTCCTGAGCGTCCTCTCAGACACGTCCTTTCCTCAACTGTGCTCAGAGCCTCGCCCAAGAGGCCAGCACAACTCCCGAGCACTCCGCTCCAGAAAGCCAGCATCTCCCGAGCGAGCTCACACCCCTTCCCATCCTGCCTCTGAGGTCAGCCTCTCATTTCCAATACCTGTGGCATCTGAACAGCTCTCCAACACTTCCTCCCAATGACTGCACACCCTGCTACAAAGAATTACAACTTGTCTCTCTGGGATCCAATAGCACACCAGCATTCTCTGTGTAATAAATGCCGACTCCCATTTGGTGCAACAGAAATTCATTCTTCCTTTCAAATCAATCATCAGTGATGCAAAAAACCCAGCAGAGGGGCTGAAGCGACAGCACAATGGGTAGGGCATTTGCCTTGCATGCAGCCGACCTAGGTTCAATTCCCAGCATCCCATATGGTCCCCTGAGCACCGCCAGGAGTAATTCCTGAGTGCAGGGCCAGGAGTTATCCCTGAGCATTGCTGGGTGTGATCCCCAAAAAATAGCACTGTAGCACTGTCCTCCCACTGTTCATCGATTCGCTCGAGCAGGCACCAGTAACATCTCCATTGTGAGACTTGTTGTTACTGTTTTTGACATATTGAATACGTCACAGGTAGCTTGCCAGGCTTTGCTGTGAGGGCGAGATACTCTCAGTAGCTTGCCAGGCTCTCCGAGAGGAGTGGAGGAATCGAACCCGGGTCAGCCGCGTGCAAGGCAGATGCCCTACCCCGCTGTGCTATCGCGCTGGTCCCCCAAATATAAATTTAAAAAAAGAACCCAGCAGAGCCCACTTGGATCTGTGTCCTCGAGCCATCGCTCATGTAATTACAGTCCCCCAATCCTGCCAGCCACAGAATAGCCAGATCATATTAATGTACACCAGGCAATCAAAGAGCCTTTTCTGAGATGAAGAAGGAAAAGGGAGAGGGGAAGCCCTAGATTAAAAATATCAGTCTTCTGTGTCTGTGGCCAGAATCTTCTCCATGTCAGGAGAAGGCTGGTTATAGGCATCCCCGAAGCAGGGACCAGAAACTACAAAGGAAACTCCTCATCCTCTGTTTATTTGCCTTGATCTAAATGGAAGAGAAAGAAAAATAGAACTCCAGAATCTTTGGTGTCTGAGGGAAGGCTGGTATCTGGCTCCCAGATACTTGAAACAAAGCTGAAGTCCCTCACTGTGCAGCTTTAGGTAAGCTGGGGACATCAGAAACTGGACAGGACCCGGGGCTCCCAAACCAGAGTATTAAAGAAATGTACTGTTAGAGCTCTAATGATGGAGCAGAGTTCCTCGATAAGGCCCCTCCACGGTGCCAACAATTAATTTACTAACATGAATTCCAGGTTTGAAGTCAAATCTTGGCAAAAATTGAAAGTAAGTAAAGTGGTCTTGACAAGAGCTCCACTAAACATGTTTGCTCCAGGAAAAAGACAAATCCACACACCTTAAGCTATCAGATGCTCTGGATTCAAACAAAAGATCCAACCAGAGTGTTAATTTTGATAACTGAAGCCCTGAATAAGAAATCTTCATATAAGGGACTCCAGGTTTGGGTCAGAAACTCAAACACGATCAGCTTCTCTGGGCTCCCAAGGACACAGGCAAATGTTGGGGCTTTGGGTTCAGGAAACACGGTGCAGAAATGGTGCTCGGCCCAGATGTCAATGATGATGGCATAACGGCTATTCCTTTACAAGCAGTCACATGGGGCCAGGGAGATTTTAAAGGGTTGGAGCACATACTCTGCAGACACGAGCCCTGGGTTCAATGCCTGCAACCTCATGGTCCCGAACCAAGAGGAACGATCCTTGTGAACGGGCTAGGAGCAACCCCCAATACCAAAGGAAGTAGCACCAAGAGAAACATAGGAGCCTTCAGAGATGCCTAACTCTTCTCAGCCACAGAACAACTTTGGACACAGAAAAGCTAAAAAAAAAAAAAAAAAAAAAAAAAAAAAGGCAACACCAATGCTCAAGACATACTTACTGCTGTAAAGGGTAAAATTTAATGTCCAACGTAATTATACATTCCTTGAATTTCTGGGCTATTCACAAATCCTGCCTAATCTACAGGGATCGCAGGTTCCAGACAGGATACCTTGAATCTGAGAGTGAAAAAATGTGCAGAGGACACCATGAAACCACATCACCTGTGATACTCATATGTGGACAGTCCCGCTGAGTGACCCTGTGACAGTGCTGACTGACCCTGCAACGGTCCCACTGAGCAACCCTGTGACAGTCCCGCTGACTGATCCTGTGATAATCCCTCTGAGTAACCCCTGTGACAGTCCCGCTGACTGATCCTGTGATAGTCCCTCTGAGTAACCCCTGTGACAGTTCCGAGTGACCCCTGTGACAGTCCCACTGACTGACCCTGTGACAGTTCCGCTGAGTGATCCCTGTTACCGTCCCGCTGACTGACCCTGTGACAGTCCCGCTGATTGACGCCTGTGACAGTTCCGCTGAGTGACTCCTGTGAGAGTCCTGCTGACTGACCCTGTGATGGTCCTGCTGACTGACCCCTCTAATGGTCCCGCTGACCGACCCTGTGACAGTCCCACTGAGCAACCCTGTGACAGTCCCGCTGACCGATCCTATGACAGTCCTGCTGACTGACCCTGTGACAGTCCTGCTGACTGACCCGTGTTACAGTCCTGCTGACTGACCCCATGACACAGCCCCACTGAAAGCTTCCTATCCTGGAGTACTTTAGACTCAGGGTTACAAAACAGCACCTGTGCCCTCTCTCCCCACTGCCTCAGTCACCTGAGTCCTGCAACCAGGAGTCACGTTGAACCCCTTCTGGCAACCCCTCTGCTACTACTGAGTGGCACTCCCTCTGACACCACCCGCTCCTGTCACTGACCTGGGGATCCTTGGCACTGGGCAAGCCCTAGACCAAGGAAGCACAAGACACATCTGTGGAACAAACATCAAACAGCAAATACTCTGCTGTTCTGGTATTACCTGCAGTGAACTATGTCTTTCATATGTGATATTCTGGGGCAGGAAGGAGAACGCAGGTGTGAAGGGACTTGTCATGCATGCAGCTAACCCGGTTCAGTCCCTGGCACCCCATATAGTACCCTGTGCACAAAGCTAGGGGTGATCCCTGAGTACCAAGCCGGGAGTAATCTCTGAGCACTATGGGGCGTGGCCCCAAACCCCAAATCTCCCCACTCCCGATTAAAAGACATTCTGAGATAAAACGCACATTGAGATGAGCAAACTCTCTTCAAATAACTTCTTTCATCGTTCTACTCACTTTTAACATCTAAGCTTTAAAATACACACGAGAAAAGATCAATCTATTAAAGATTCATCGTCCACAGTGTGTAAAGCAATGCTGGATCAAATCACACTGACAGTGCGGGGAGGGACAGTCAATGGAGTAAATGCAGGCAGGATGCCCAGGGCTAGCCCTGGAACACATGTCCCCAGGCACCTCCGGGAGAGGCACTGCACACAGAGCCAGCAGCGGACCCTGGAGACCCCCAGCAATGGCCCCAAATCAGAGCAAAACAAAAACAAACTGTCTCAACATAACCAAACAACACAGGTTGTTTTAGAGCGACTTTTCCCTATGTGGGCCCCAGTTGCAAACACCTCCACTCATCACTGTCTGTAACATTTTAGTCAAAGCAGAGGCAGGTCAGGGAAGAGAAGCTGGTACATCCCCATCAAGCAGAGACTTCACGTCACTTGTTAATGATATAAGTTGGTCAGTATCTGGGTCAGAGCAATTGTTCAGCGGGGAGGACGTCAGCCTTTGCGTGGCCAACCCAAGACTTGATCTCTGGCACCCTGTATGATCCCCCAAACACTGCAAGGTGTAATTCCTAAGTGCAGAGCCACGAGTAACCCCTGAGCATTGCTGGGTCTGACCCCAAACAAGCAAACAAAGTCCACATCTTACCAGCATTCATATCCTTAAACTTCTGCTTCAGTTCCGTGGGGGTAAGGCGATACTGGTCAAGGCCGTCATTCCAATAAATCCGGTCTAAGACCTGAAGGTCTCCCCCGATCAGCCAGTCACCTTGCTCCATGACCATCTAAACAGGGAGAAGAAGACAACATCACCAGCCAAGCTCCAGAGAATCGTGGGCCTCTCTCTCCTACAAGCTAAAGACAGTTGGAGATTACTTTCACTCTGTGGATGGAACAGCTCTCGAATCAGCTTTTACTTCCCAACGGAGAGACACACCTCTCCCATTTACACACACAAAACCAGCGTCAACAAGAACTCTTGAAGCAACACAAACATTCTTCCATTCCTTGGATGTGTGTTACCCAAAAAATGTGTTGCCCGGGTACTGCCCTTTTCCGTACACCCATCGGACATGGGCACTTCTCAAAGGCTTCCGGGCCTCTCTCAGCCCCTTTCCCTGCATCTGGGGGGACCCCCCTTCCGGGTGCTCACACTGGCCTGAATGCTGCATTCCTCACTAGCAGATCCGCCCCCAAGCCCAGAGATGACACGCTTCGAACTGATCATCACAACACTGCAAAATGCCCCACGTTCCTGCACCAAGACTGGCTGAGCAAGAGGAGACCTTGATGTAGGGGTGACTCTTGCAGGTGGTCCCCCACTGCCGGGCGCAACGCTCCTCCTTCCGGTGCTCGAAGAACTCCGGGTTGCGGAGAATGGCCACGCGGCGGCCCTCGTAGACCAGGGCGAAGGCCGTGCAGCCATCCAGTCGCTCTTTGTCTTCACAAGTGGCCGTGAGAACGATGGGCACCGACAAGTTAATGACACCCCCTGCGAGACACAGAGAGAGGAAGGCACGGCATGGCCGGAGGACTCGCCACACACCGTGCTCCTTCCCTGCAGAGGGCAGGCGGGCTTGCACCATCCACCCAGTGGCCAGGGACCGTGCCGGGTGGGTACCCCACTCAGAAAATCCCGGGGAAAGCCCAGAGGAGAAAGGCAAGACTGCAGGCGGTCAACACTCGGCTGTCATACTTATCACTGAATCTCTTTGAGTGGGAAAAGAGAAATGAAAGAAACTGTTTAAGAAAGAATCAGTGGTTAAAACCGAGCATCCCTCCAAACAGACTGAGCCCCTCCACCAGATGAGTGAGGTGAGAAAGATGTCCAGGGATCGGGGGACGGAAATTGAAATTCTTACTGAAAACTAGATTTCCATTTCTGGAGGACAGATGGCACAGAAACCTTCGGTACAGTCAATGCCACAAATACAGAGGGTCCGACTAGGTCCCTAAAGCGCTATGGAATCATGCTGGGAATGAATGATGCAGCGGTGAGTGCAGGTGCGGGGTGGGAACTGCGTGCTGAATAGCAAGTTTTGTGAGTCTACTTGGAATCTTTGGCTCCCCTTAAATCTGGGAAACAAAAACGCAAAAACTCCAGAAAGGTGTTTTGTTTCTTAACGTCTCGGTTCTTCATCACATGGAACTAAGGTTGGCGACCACAGGCAGAGCGAACAGCCATCACCCCGCCTCCACTTACAAAGACCACAGACCACTTTCTCAGTTTATATCTTTTGGGCCCAAAGTTCTCAGGTTTTTCTAAGCTGTGAACTCAATTGTTCATGGTTAGAAAAACAAAATGCAGGAGTTCCAGTGCTTGATGCTAGTTTGATCCTGGCACCAAATTTGGTCCTGTTGAGTACCACCAGGAGTGATTTCTGAGCACAGAGGCAAGAGTAGCCCTGAGCGCCGCTGGTTATGGCCCTTGCATCCCCCAAAAAGACTAAAAAGGCAAATTCCTATGTGGGTCTTATTTATATATCAAAAAGATGTGTTGTAGTTGTTTTTTAAATGAGATTGTAGTATGTCATTACTGGACCTAATATGCCAACAAAGATAGTAAGTGTTTGGCTGCTTTAACATGACTACTATCAGGTCTAGTTTAAAAGCAAAAGTTAATGGGAAGATTTGCACCAAACCCAACTAAATCATTTTGAAACAGGAAATCCAAAGAGCAATGACCAATAGTTCCAAGGAAGAAAATGAAAAAGCAGTATCTAACCCTGATGCTCCTGTGATAAAAATTCCAGAGAAGATGGGGGAATCACTCTGCATTTAAAAGCCAGCACCTGAGGAACACCAGAGTATTTGTAGGATTCTTTGACTTTTTAAAAGATGAGAGAGAGAGAGAGAGAGAGAGAGAGAGAGATAAAGAAAGAGGAAAAGCACCTGCCACAGAGGCAGGCTGGGGGCAGGAGGTGGGGAGTGGGAGGTGGGAGAGAAACTTGGGGACACTGGTGCCAGAAAATGTACACTGGTGGAGGGATGGATGTTGGAATATTGTATGACTGAAACCCAATCATGAACATCTTTGTAATGGGCCATCTCATGATGATGCAATTTAAAAAATGATTTTTTAAATATGTTTTAATGTAGCAAACTAAACTTTCCAATGGCACTGTCTGCACTGTCCTCCCATTGGTTCATCCATTTGCTCGAGCGGGCACCAGTAATGTCTCACAACAATTTGTGAGACTTGCTGTTACTGTTTTTGGCATATTGAATACGCCACAGGTAGCCTACCAGGCTTTGACATGCGGGCAAGATACTCTCGGTAGCTTGCCGGGCTCTCTGAGAGGGATGGAGGAATCAAACCTGGGTCGGCCGCATGCAACGAAAACGCCCTACTGCTGTGCTATCGCTCCAGCCCAAACTTTCCAGTAAGTATACAAAATTTAAGGGAGTGGAATGCCATCACATTATACTGAATGCCATCTGATTTGGCAATGAGGTTTGGTTTTTATAGACACAAGAGAGCACCCTCAGACCCAGCTCTGTCAGGGCTCCTTAACATGTGCTCTCTGAGTTCTTACCCAATGCCCACATACCCATGGCAGGATGGCGAGTGCAGAGCAAGCTTAGACTTTTCTAGAGGTTCCCACAGAGAGGAGATGAATGTGGCCTCGGGGAACTATTTGGTTTTTCAATCCATTTTCAGCCCTACTCCCTAGATTCTCCTTCCCCCTATTTGCCATGAATCACAACCAGGGAAACAAAGAAATGGGGAAAAGATCTTCCGGTTCACTTCCAGCACACAGGACGAGATTTCGCTCCTGCACGAGACACCCTCAGGGTAGGGGCTCTTTTCACTCACAATGTGCTACTGAAAGACGAAGGTCTTACCATCCAGAAGACAGTCGAAGTGAAGGCACTGCAAGTACTCCCGCTCCCTCATGAAGCCATTCAGCGGGGTGGCCCAACCTTCAGCCAGAACCTGGACCCACTGCATGTCCACCTGGGGGAAGGGCAAGAAAAGGTGACACTCCACACCTGCCCTTACTGGGAAAAGCAGCAATGTGAAAAGACGGAACAAAACCCTTCAAGAATGACTAGAGCTTAGGGGAATCTAGTGAGGAGTGGGGTTACTGGGAAAACGCACATTCCTGCTCCTGCACTGTAGCAGCAGGGTCCGAAGCAGCTCTCAGAAACAGCTGCTCTGACACCAGTGATTCTGACTTCAAAACCTCTGAGACCTGGAAAACTTCATGAAACGAAGATCGTGCCACAACCATAAGGTGAACTGGTGATGGATTTGTGTTTTCAGCAGAGACAATACACCGTGGTGATGGATGCCCTCAATCAAAGCAATGCTTAAATGAAAATATTTACATGAAAAGTGCCTCATCAATGACACAGGTACACTTCCCTCAACCAACATGATGTGCTTTTGACATTGTCTTTTGGGGCCACGCCCAGTGGTGCTCAGGGCTTACTCCTGGCTCAGAGCCCAAGGATCCCTCCTGGGGGGCTCAGGGACCATATGGGGGTGCTGGGGATTGAACGTGGGTCAGCCCTGTGCAAGGAAATGCATGATTGGCTGCACTATCGCTCTGGGCCCCCTGAGTTCCTTCTCGAACCTCTGATATGGATCAATGTGGAGGGACTGAGAAAATACAGATACAAACAATTATCATTCTCCGATGAGAAAAGGCAGGGTACCTGATCACCGGTAACCAGGCACATATACCTTCCCACTTATTCCCAAAGTATGTGGCCAGTACCACAAAGAAAGGAAACAGCCTCATATTCCCCTCCTTAAAGTCACAGGAAAAATTATGTTCACACACCACATTCATTTATTTTCAAACTATCCTCTTATTTATTTTTATTTTTAAAAATTGTTTTTCTCATGGTGCTGGGGATAGAACCCAGGGCCTCACGCACATGAGGTGAATGCTTTGCCTGTGAGCTACATCACAGCTCATTCTATTCTTCCAACTCCACGACTTGTCTCCACTGGGATCCTGTTAGGGTCTGTGGTGGACGGAACGTATGTGACCCTCTCAGACTCTGATGCCAAGTCCTAACCGTGGTTGGCTGTGCTGATGGGGTTTGTGGGGAGGTGAGGAAGGTTTGGAGAGGTGATGAGAGTAAGCGTCCTCACAAAAGACCCCAGTGCTCTGGCTACATCCTGGGAGGACACAGTGACCAGATCACAGCGATGAGATCACCACCTCCACCATCTCAGTCTTCCAATGAGCATAACTGTGAGGAAACTTAGGGCACATTTATATTATATATATATATAATTATGAATTATAAATGTACATTTATATATAAATTTTATGGCCATAAAATTAATATACATAATTTATAAACAATTATGGGCTGGAGCGATAGCACAGCGGCAGGGCGTTTGCCTTGCATGCAGCCAACATGGCCGACCCGAGTTCGATTCCTCCTCCCCTCTCGGAGAGCCCGGCAAGCTACCGAGAGTATCTCGCCCGCACGGCAGAGCATGGCAAGCTGCTGGTGACGTACTCGATATGCCAAACACAGTAACAACAAGTCTCATGATGGAGACGTTACTGGGCCCACTAGAGCAAATCCATGAACAACAGGAGGACCGTGACCGTGATATGCATGTAATTTTTTAATGTCATACAAGGAACAAATAACTGCACTGAAAATGCTCTGATCTTTCTGCAATGTAGAATCTGATCACTCTAGATTCTGAACATTGGTTCGTGTGTGTGTATGTGCAGGTGTGTATGCATGTGAGTATATTGTGTATATGTGTGAGGTGTGTGACATGTAAAGATTATGTGACATATATGTGTATATACATGTGGTATGCTTACAGGCACGCAGTATGCATGTAATTGAGTGGCAACATACGTGGTCTGTGGTTTGTGTGTGTGTGTATCTGTGGCATATATCTGTGACCTGTGCAGATGTCACGCACACAGATGGACTCTTTCCAACTCTCCCTCTCCCACGGATGCCATATATCTTGGCTCTGATCAAAGACAATCGCACCAAGTGCATCAGATAATCTCTTCTTATGGGGGATTTGGACAAGCTCTGTCTCTAAACCCAGAAGTTTGGGGCACGACATCTTTCTTTCTCCTTTCACACAGTGTAGCACGCTAACCCCCTTGGGAGGAGGAGCAGTGAGGAACTTACTTTACTAATGTTCAGTGCTGGTAAGGTTTCTGCATCTGTCTTCGCCAAGTGAAGTTTATTCTCTGGCACATACAGCTCCTTGACTTCGTAAGAGGCATCCACGGGTACAATATCCTACAACAAAGAACAACCAAAGGTGAGCCGGCAGCCTACAGTTCTCCACCAGGGTGAGACGCTAATAAAGAAACATACGAGGGTCCTGATGGAGCCAGAAAAACAGAACGTGCAACAGAGCCTGGTTCAATCCCCAACACTAGGCCCCTGAGCACCAGCAAGAGGGATCCCCAAGCAGTGAAGGAATATTCCCCAAGGGAAGCCAGGTGGCAACCAAAGACAGCAAGAAAAGCGGGGTGAGGGAAGGAGCACTGAGCATCAGGCCACCCCAATCAACTCTCCTGCCAGCCATTCACAAGCTGGAAAACAACACACATCCAAGAACTCTGTCAGTAAAATACCCCATTCTCTAGAGAAAAGGAGAAATTCCCAGGATGGGCCGTCTATGTTAACATCGGCCAACAGAGGAGGCAGGGCGACGGGACAGGGTGCGAGCCAGGCCAGGATCAAACCCAAGACAGTCCTTGGAGCCTGCCGGAATGATCCCTGAGCACTGAACCCCACAAAAAATATTATTATGGGGCCTTTTCCACTCTGGAGAAGCTCATGTTTTCTCTTGAACACGTACCTCTTTTTTTTTCTCTCCCCTCATTTCTTTCAAATTAAATTACGTTAAATAAAAACCAACTTACTTCACTAGAAACTTAACACATAAATTGTATCAGGCAATTGAGAAGAGGTGACCTTGAGTGAGTGGTAACAGCACGGCAACAGGACAAATACGCTCACTACAGTCTTTAATGAGTCCGCTTCCTGCATGGTTATCACTCGTGTCAATGAAGCCACAGTCTGCTTTGTTGCTGTTTAGTTTTTTTAGGTACTCCTTTCCCAATACAGTGAATAACCTGTTTTTCTGCAGAGAATGTTCCAGTGTGACCCACCTGTTTCGTTTTGCCACACAGGACACAGAACCACACCAACTTCCCTCTCACCTGCCGGGCTTACGTAACGGCGCCTTTGGCCCCACCTAATATGACGTGTGAAAAGGGAGAGACTACTTGCCAGTGGCACAGATGAAAAATGACTGGCACCTGAAATACGGGAGGTCTGGGAGGGCCAAGGGGGGGGAGGGGAAGGGGTGTAGTGTGTGTGGCATGAGGAGATTCCTGAAAGTCGAAAGTCAGAGCAGGTCTCACAGGTGTTGAGAATACGTGTGCTTACACATATACTTGTTTATACACCCACACAGGCTGCAACTCACCATATAACCACCACAGAGCTTGCTATTATCACAGATTCATGGTGTTTCATGTTTTTGCAAAAATGTGGGGTCTTTTCATTACATGAAGCCTTTTGAACTGTGCTGGATTTGCTTAAAAACAGGACGCAATGAAGATGTGGTGAAATACAGAACACTACAGAGTTGCGGTGAAATGACATAATTTAGAATCCCTAAACTGCAGGGGTTAACGTTAACTGCACAGCAATTAATGCACTGTCCTAGGGCGCTGGATGAGTTCGTTCACTGGCTCTTCATGCCATCCTGCCCATTTACAGAAGAGGACATTAAGGCCCAAGAGAAGTCAATCACTGGCCCCCAAATCCCAGCTCTCCAGTCTTTGATGCATTCACCACACAGTAACTAAACAATAAATCAGACTTCAGTGCTTCGGTGTGTTGCATTCTTTGTCCAGACTGCGCTAAGCACTCCACATTTATATTAAATCATAGGCCCCTCAGTACACTTTGGAGGCAGGTACTACTATTAAGTCCCATTTCACAGATGATGGGACTTTAGTCAGGAAAGAGATGGCTTCCCATGCAGGAGTGGAGGCCCTCCGGAGGTCCCCATGCTCTCCAAACTGGCCAGCCACACTCCAGGCACAGCTGAGCTGCCGTTTGCCGAGTCTGGTTTTATGGCCCAGCTTGAAGATGAATGTGCTTTACTGTGAGGCGCTTTTTATGTTTAAACTCAGAGGCTTTAACAACTTTCTTTTCGGGAAAGAAGGAATGTGTTTTTCTTACTTTGAGCAAAATACTTTTTCCATTATAAGCATTTTATAAAACCCTTTCATAGCTAGCAGTATCTTAAAATAAATGTTAGCCTCCCAACTTAAGATACAGATTTATTCTGTCACCTACCCAAAACCTGAGAAAAAGTTCAAGAGGTGGCTGTTGTTTTTCTCTTCTAAAATGCGACCAAAAGGGAACACTTTGGGAATGAACGCAGACGTAACAGTACGCATCGAGAGGAGCAAGGAACCTTCTAGGCAGACCCCATGTGCAAAGAAAAGGCGCAAATCAGGAACAAAAAGAATTTTAGAAATGCAGACACAGCCCATTTCTAGTATATTCTGGTGACAAATCCTTTCAGTTTCCAAAACCACTACTAAATAGCTAAAAGGAGCAAAACCACCTCAAAGTGAGACAAGATCTCTGGACAACAGAACGCAGAGGCCCTGCCACATGAGTTATCCATTTCGCTTGGAGTCATGAGGGTTTCCAGAGACAGAGTCTGTGGGAGAAAACAGTATGTTCTTCTGTAACTTGCAAACATAAAACCCTTGGTTTCAGGAAAGATCCTTTGAAACAAAAATCGGTCCCAAGCCAGGCCAGGAACGAGCGGTCCCAGAGCTAAACCTCTCATTTTCCCTGCCCCAGTCACCAAGCACTGAGCTAAGAAGGCTCGAGGGTGCACCTGACAGAGTGTGGAGACAGACGAGTCTCGTGTCTCCATCAATAAGACAGGCCGAGAGATACTTAACTCTGAGAAACGCCTAGGGACTGGAGACAAGTACAGTGGGTCAGGTGCCTGCTTGCCTGGTTCAGCCCCTGGTACCTCATATGGTCCCTTGGTTACCCCTGGGAGTGATCCCTGAGCACAGAGACAAGAGTAATGCCTGAGCACAGCTGGATGTGTTTCCCCAAACAGAAACCAATTATTTTAAAGTAACATGGGTTCTCAAGACTTTTTTTATCTTGGGGTTGGAGTGACAGTTCAGCGGGTAGGGCGTTTGCCTTGTACGCAGCTGGCCCGAGTTCAATCCCCAGCATCCCAAACGTTCCCCTGAGCACTGCCAGGAGTCATTCCTGAGTGCAGAGCCAGGAGTAACCCCTGAGCATCTCTGGGTGTGACCCAAAAAAATAAAAAAACAAAACAAAAAGAAAAGCAAAAAAAAAAAAAGAGTTAAAAAAAAAAGACTTTTTATCTTTTGCTTAAATGGAAACATAATCTAAGGTAACCTAAGTTCTCTCCACCTCTTTGCTGCAAGAAACTGGACTCTTTGTGATTCTCTGGACACTGGCAGGCAGAGCAGATAACTGCCCTCACTGCCTGAAACAGCCCATGCCTTCGCTGTTCCGTGTCCCTGAAGAACTCTGAACATGTCAATAAACAAAGTGAGTCCACATTTGAAAGGCTTCCCTTTAAGTATTTTCTGTCCTTTTTTCTGGAGCCAAATCTGCTCGACAGATTGGAACCCTCGAGCTTGCTCGTGCTCTTGTGTAACGGTGACCCTCCTATTACCTCCGACACGAGGGCAGAGAGGGCCACCACCACACGCGGCTCCGTGGGGCCTGGCCTCGGCGCGCCATCAGATCCACTCCAACACTGAACCATCATTTCATAAAAAAGACAAACCTTTAACTCATTTATAGAATGAGTAAATCTAGAGTTCCTAAGTCGATTTAAAAACAGCATTTAAAATACCACTTGAGATTGAAACCAGCAGCCAGTGCGCACAGCCACGGCGGTGCCAGAAGGCCCTCTAGTGCCCGTTCTGGGGGAAAAAGGCGCTTGGGAAAGCGTCTTCGCGTCCCTCGACTCAAAACACGGCAGCTGAAGCACATTAAGGAAAGAATGACACTCTGACAAAATATTTTAAAAATTCAGTGTTTCCATTCCAGACCACCTCACCTCTTCTAATCGTGTTCCTGAGGCCCACGGGAAGGGGTAAGGAGGGACCCACAGCGTGTACGTGGCCCCGACATGGCATCCTGAACACCACTCGCCCAGCGCACACCAAGCCGATTCTTCTCACACAGTCAAGGCCATTGCTGGGTAAAAAGCATCATGGGGAGAATGGGGCCGGGCCTCTGGCGACAGGGACGAGGTGACTCCGAACACACACGTCACTCCCAAACCCACAATTTCATCCCCAAGATGAATGACAAAATTAAAGAGAGCTGTTGAAAGGAGCCCCATTGGTTGTTGCTGCCTACAAGCTGGTAGAGAGGAGAGGCCAGAGTGTCCAGCTGAGGTGTGGGTGCAACAGCGGGGGCCTTACAACAGCCACAGACTTCCTCATTTTAGGGGAAACCAATGCAAGCGCAGTCTGCAAACACAGATTCTAATAGGGTAGCTGATCCACGTGGCACTTCTGCTGACAGAGACGGGGCGGGGGGGGGGGGGGGGGGGGAGTCCAAACTACCACGGAAGGGGCCGCAATGTGCACCAGTGAAGGCAGCGGCCACTCAGGGCACCCCCACAGCCTACTCCCAGCTCCCAGGAGTCTCCACACTCCAGGGCCTCCCCGGCGATTTACCAGAACAGACTAGAGAGATGCTGCTCCCCACAGTCTCACACGCACCCTGGTTTCAACGGAAACCAGCCAGTACCCGGGATGGAGGGCATTCACTTTCACAGGACTGCACCACACTGTCCCAGGCCACCAAGAAACAACACACAAGAGAGTTCTCTTTCGAGTCCTCGAGCACAGGTGTCACCAGTGGGTCCCTGGGCTCCCTCACGGGACCCCCAGTGGTTCCCAGCACAGGAAGTAGCCCCCAAGCAGCCCCTGATACAAACCTAGAACACAACCAGATGTCGCCGCCAAAAAAAAAAAAAAAGAGGTGGAGAAGGAAGTCAGAGCTGGGAGCTACCTGCTGTGTCTACCCTGGGGACACATCAGGCGGGTGCTACGGAAGAGGGGGAGTCATCAGGACCTAGGGTGAAGACGGGGAGCCGCCCGGACCTCCCTCGGGAGCAGGAAGCCAAATACCTCCATTAAAGCCACATTCCAGGCCCTCGGGTGCGTCAGCAATAAGGACAGGGAAAATGAAGAGGGACTTTGTGAAATGACCTATTCTCTCTTAAGCCTTAGTGACTCACAACTACAAAGGCCTTAATTTTAAGTTTTATGCTTCAGGCCTTCTCGGAGTCAGGAGAGGCGATCTCCCTGATTTCTTTCTTCTTTGGTTTTTTTTTTTTTTGAGGTGGTGGAGGGGGTCACACCCGGCAATGCTCAGGAGTCACTCCTGGCTCTGCACTCAGGAATTACTCCTGGCGGCGCTCAGGGGACCCTACGGGATGTTGGGGATTGAACTGAGTAAGCAGCATGCAAGGCAAACACCCTAACTGCTGTACTATCACTCTGGCCCCGCTCCCGTATTCTGTCTGGGAGTGGAATGAGGGAATTAGGGATATCATTTGGGACAGCAGGGATCTGGCCAACCTTCTCCCTCCTCCCATACTTCCCAAAGCACCAACCACCACACCAGTGCCCCAGAGCCGCAGCCATGCCTCTGCTGCAAGACTTCCCAGTTAAATATTCAAGATTTTCTGCTCACCTCCAAACTCTAGAATACTGGCGGGGCTGACTGCAGAAGACAACCCATCCCAACAGAAACACAAGCACAGAGGGCTGACCTTCAGAGATCCCTAACCCCTCAGACAAGGCCTTCATGTCCCCCTGCGAGACACAACACGTTTCACAAATTTTCGTCTATGGAAATATTTCTGATCATTCTGTTAGCCAGTTAGTGGTTAATAGAAATAAATATTAAGAGTTAATATGTTAATAGAAATTAATGTTAATAGAAAATAAGTGACTGTGGGCTGCTACGGGAGCAGGCTGGAGGGGTGGCTGGGAAAATGGGGACGATGGTGAAGGGACAGTGGGGGGGGGGGGGTTGGGAGCGGAGCAGCAAATGCCTGGAACCCGGGACTGCCGCCAGCCTGCTTCTGTCTGGCAGATCAGCGGGAGCAACGGCCCAGGGCGCGTGGGGACCGACGGGCGGGGCAGCCATGGGGTGTCAGCAGGCAGGGGGGACCCTCCCAAGTCTAACAGAGTCAGAAGGAGCTGGAGCTGGCAGCGCTTTATTATTCTAGGAATGAAGTGCTGTTGACACACAGTGACGAACCGCTCTGCCTATTTACTGCTTAGGTTTGAGCCCCCGAGCAAAGCATTACTCGCCTGGCAACAAGGTGCATGAGATCACGTAGCAAGTTTCAGGACATAACAGCACCCCCAGGAGATGCCGCAGGCTGCCTCCAGATCATCTTGAGAGGGCAACAAGAAGACTCTTGTAGAGGTTCTGGTTCCCAGGGAAAACACGAGTTCCTATTCGCACCACAGCACATTCTAGCGAGAGTGCCAGGAGTCTGCGAAATGTACACACCTGGGTTCAAAAGGCGCCCTATAACCGCTAACCAGCATCCAAACCTTCTGCAAGAGCCATTATTTTAGACAAAGCGATGTAGTGTCTGGAGCCAGAGCGATAGTCCAGGGGGAGAAGGCATTCGCCTTGCATGCGCCTGACCAAGGTTTGCTCCCCAGCACCCCATATGTCCCCCAAGCACTGCCAGGAGTTGACTCCTGGGTGCAGAGCCAGGAGCAACCCCTGAGCCTCATTGGGTGTGACTCATAAGCAAAACACAGAACAAAACAGGAGCAGTGTCTGTGCCGTGAACAGCAGCTCTGACGTGGGCACGGCAAGCTGCCCGCACTCACTGTTCACCAGGCTCGAATCATCACAATTACAATTTGATAAAAGACACAGAACCTGCCTCCTCATAACCGGACCCTCCAGACGCCGCTTCCCACTGATCCTTCTTTTACAAACACAGACTGCAATAGTCCAGCCTTCAGATTTCCTCTATCAGGCATAATACAGAGCAATATCTTTATCAAACAAAGACTAATTCACATGATCACTGGTCATGAACAAATAAAACCGGAACAAGGCCAAAGAGACTGAGACAAACAGAGCAAACCAAAGAAGCAAATGTTCCAGTGGAATCCCGAAGGACTTTAATAAGAAAACAGACCACTGGGAGTAGACTGGAGAGCCCCTTGACAAAAATCACCTTTATTCCCTAAACCAAGGGGAAAATCAGTGTTTTAGAGCAAAAGCGGGAAAGAATTCAATCCATTACCCTGCAGAAATTTCCTGCTGGTCTGTGAAGAAGCTATTACTGCTGAATACATGATACACTTGGATCATGTACCAGGACCGCCATAGATGCTGGCATATAAATACTGATATACAAATACCCTTGGCATAAATGATGGCTTGGATGGCTCATTTCTGTCCACACCAAATTTCTATTTTCACTGGTCTACGGATATCAAAAACAACAACAACAAACAAGGTGGAAAACCACTGGATTCGAGTCACTTTAGAAAGATGTGGTGGCAGTCGGGTGGAATAAGGGACACAGATCGGGGCTTCTTAAATCTTTCAACACCCGTGACCCCTTCCACCAGGTGAGCACTGCCAGGACCATCTCAGTTCCTGACAGGGTATTCATCTTTGCTTGCTGCATATTCAGAAATCTCTCCTAGCTGCCCCGTCTTTGCGTGGCCACTTGTGGGTGATGGTGCAGAAAAGCTCAGGCTTGGGGGTGTTAGAAAACCGGAGAGCAGCAGGAGCCGTTTACCCAAGATGTTTCACCACCCCGCCACGGGGAAGCAAGAGGGATGCTGAGTCCCAGAGCCCTGAGCATCACAGAGCAGGGGCGCAGTGTCTTCCTGTCACAGAATCCCATTTAAAATCCAGCTCAGACCTGTACACGGAATGGAATCCAGAACAGAACCCGAGAAGACCAAGAGGTGGAAGCATGAGCGATCTAAATCACCCAGCGGATGGTGCGGCGGGGAAGCTGCCGTCTGCATTCTGCGAGGAGCTGGGGAGGATGGGCCGGCTGCTCTGTGCTGTTCCAGCCTAACACAAGAGCTGCAGAAGTTTCTCAAGTTCAGAGTTTTACAAAGTCATGCGCCCAATGCAAAATAAAAAGGTTCTTCTGGAGGAAAAGTGTCCAACTCAAAGGACACTGCTGTGGGCAGGACCCCAAAGAGGCTCAGAAATAAAGGAGAGGCAGAAGGGATGCAGGGAGGCTGCTCAGTGCTCCTGGGGCGGGGGGGGGGACTTCACATCCCTCTGATGTTTCACTGTAGGAACCACCCATAGCCCGAGGATGGCTTCAGGGAGCCCCAAGCTCCAGCCTGAAGTCGGGAACATCTATGGGCTTTTTTCCTCAGGTGTTGTAAAACACCTAAGAACCAATTATAAAAAAAAAAAAAACAGGTAATGCCCACGGTTGGCAGCCTGCCTCATGAGCTGGGGGAGAAGGCAGCTGGGATAGAGAAGGGACCACTAAGTCAATGATGGTTGGAGGGATCATTCGGGATAGGAGATGTGTGCTGAAAGTAGATAAAGGACCAACATGATGGCCTCTCAGTATCTGTACTGCAAACCATAATGCCCCAAAGTACAGAGAGAGTATGGGGGAAATTGTCTGCCCTAGAGGCAGGAATAAGGGTGGGATGGAGGCGGATACTGGCGACGTTGGTGGTGGAGAATGTGCACTCGTGGAGGGATGGGTGTTCGATCATTGTAGGGCTGAAACTCAAACATGAAAGTCTGTAATTGTATCTCATGGTGATCCAATAAAAAAGAAAAAGAAAAGAAAAAAGAAAAGAGTGGGGAGGAAGGAAAAGTGACTTCTAAACTTGAGACTGCTGTTACACTGCTGACATTCTCTCGCAACAGCACGGCATCTCACAGTGCCTGAAAACAAACAGGGGGAGAGTCGAAGACTGGAGCTAATGCTGAGGGCTGTATGGGTGCCCGTGCTCTGGGCAGCATCCAGTTACTCAGACCCCAGGGAGGTCCTTCCCTCCCTCTGGGCCAAGCAGAGAAACCAGCCGTTGGCACCAGGAAAGTCCAGGCCTCCTGACGTGCAGGAAAGCCGGCTCACATAGCACACATGGCAGAACCGGGGTATGCCGCAGAGCCGATAGGCCAAAACAGACTCCTCTCCAGAAGGCAGACAGGAAAATGACTGGGAGGACATGGGTCCCTTGGCTTCCTGTCCCCGACCGCTCACCCTCTGGGCTCCTACACACTCTCCACAGACACAGCGCACCCCACACCCCCCAAGTTCCCTAGAGGACACAGGACGCATCACTGCATCCTCTACCTCGCGCTGCCGGAACCCGTTTCCCACGAGGTGCCATGACCGCCCCCACCCCCCACCAGCCACCCTGTCGCTCTCACCCGCTCCTGCAGAAGCTCCACGACCTGCTGGACACAGTCATTGACGTCGCAGGAGTCTGTTTTCAGCACCAATTCCGGGGCCTCGGGTTTTTCATACTCGGAATCGATCCCGGTGAAACCTAAGAACAGTGCCAGTGAGAGAGGGGAGGGGAAGTCAAAATTAAACTCCGTGTTTCTCAGGGCATGGAGGACTGGCCCACGGCTGGGAGCTTGCTATAGTCGCAGGGAGCAGGCAGCTGGGGTAGAGAAGGGACCAGTAGGACAATGGTAGTGGGAGGTGATCACTCTGGAAGAGAACTGAATGCTGAGAATAGCGAGGGATAAATATAACATCTCAGTACTTACAGTGAAAGCCGTGATGCCCAAAAGGAAAGAGAGAAAGAGAGAGAGCAAGAGAGAGAGAAGGAAGAAAAGTACCTGCCATTGAGGCAGGCTGGGGGCGGAGGGAGGGAGACAGAAGGGAACCTGGGGACACTGGTGGTGGGAAATACACACTAGTGAAGGGACAGGTGTTGGAACATTGCATGACTGAAACCTGATCATGAACAACTTTGTAACTATGTATCTCACACCATTCAATACAAAATCAGTCAATCATTGTTCTCCCATTGTTCATCAATTTGCTCAAGCGGGCCCAGTAACATTGTGAGACTTGTTGTTACTGTGTTTGGCATATCGAATACGTCATGGGTAGCTTGCCAGGCTTTGCCATGCGTGCGGGATACTCTCAGTAGCTTGCCAGGCCCTCTGAGAGGGGCGAAGGAATCAAACTCAGGTCGGCCGGGTCAGCCGCATGCAAGGCAAACGCCCTACCCACTGTGCTATCGCTCCAGTCCTCTTAAAAATTAAAATAAAATAAAATAACGGGTGCAGGTGGCGGCAGCGCTGAAGCTTGAGAGTGTCTGCTGCAAGGGACCATGGCCAACCAACTGTGAGAAAACTTTCATTGCCATCAAGCTGGATGGGGTCCAGCTCGGGCTCACGGGCAAGATCATAAGCATTTTGAGCTGAAGGGATTCCGCCTTGTTGGTATAAAGTTCATCCAGGTTTCTGAAGACCTCCTTAAGGAACACCACATTGACCTAAAGGACCGCCCGTTCTTTGGTGGCCCAGTGAAGTACATGCCAATGGTCGCCATGGTCTGGGAGGGTCTGAATGTTGTGAAGACAGGCCGAGTGATGCTCGGGGAGACCAACCCAGCGGACTCTAAGCCTGGAACCATCCGAGGGGACTTCTGCATCCAAGTTGACAGGAACATCATCCATGGCAGCAACTCCGTGGAGTGTACAGAGTAGAAGATTGGCCTATGGTTCAGCCCCGAGGAGCTAGTCAGCCACAAGAGCTGTGCCCAGAACTGGATCTACCAATGAGCGGGACACATCACCAGTTTGCTCTTCTCCATGTCCTTGTCGCTCATCCAGGAACCCAGCCACAGGTTGGGTTCTAGTCATCTCAGAACTTCCCAACATTACAGAGGGAAATTCTGGGAGCCAGGGGTGCTCCCGGTACAGTGTTAAGTGCTGCCGTCAAGTTAAAACGTTTCATTCCAAAATAAATAAATAAATAAATAAAAGGTAACGGTAAAGGCCCTCCCATTGTTCGTCGATTTGCTCGAGCAGGCCCAGTAACATCTCCATTGGAGACTTTGTTGTTACTGTGTTTGGCATATCGAATACGTCACGGGGAGCTTGCCAGGCTCTGCCATGCGGGCAAGATACTCTCGGTAGCTTGCTGGGCTCTCCGAGAGGGGCGGAGGAATCGAATTCGGGTCGGCCATGTTGGCTGCGTGCAAGGCAAACGCCTTACCGCTGTGCTATTGCTCCAGCCCAAATAAATAAATAAAAATTAAAAATAAAACAAAACCCCACCTGACTGTGCTTCCCTGCTGCAAATGCTGCTCGGAAGCTCCGCCTTGCACTGCCCATCAGAAACAAACAAAAAGAAAGAACCTGAGTGTTTTCCTTCCTATCTGTTATATACTAAGTGTTCCCGATCAGCTACTGATTTAGAAGTCCAGGCTAAATGGATTGGCCTTTAAGCACCTAGGGCCGTGGGGTGCGATGCCCTCCCTGCCATCCCCTAAACTCTGGCCTCCAAATGGGCAGGGCAGCCCCCGTTCTGCCCAGTGAGCGTTCAGTCAAGCTGGGCCTCAGCTAAAGAAGCAAGACCGGAACCTCTGCTCCCAGAGGAAACACGGGCTGAAGTTCGCAGCAGTCTCCGGACACAGAGCTTTCTTTCCCCCCCCCCCCCCCCAGTCTTTGGTTTTTGTTTTGGGGTCACATCTATGCATGATCAGGGCTTACTCCTGGCTCTGCCCTAAGGGCTCACCCTTGGCGGGGCTCAGGGGACTATAGGGGGTGCTGGGGACTGAACCCAGCCGAGTGCAAGCCTACATGCTGTGCTATTGGGAAAAAAATTTTATCCACCAATTAATGTATAACTTTGCTTCTTGTGTCTCAATTTACACATTCAACACAGCATCCACTCCCGGCTCTCACATCCTTTTCCTTCCGCCTTTCCCTTCCTGGGTCTGGGGCAGAAAGCCCAAGGCTGGGAGTCACACGGAGCCCTGGGCAACCCTGAGCCCCACCCTGCCAGGAGACACAGCCAAGTCACAGACCCCAAGACAGTCCAATTGCATCCCGTACCTACAACGGTCAGTGCCTGCACGGCCTCTGTGTCAAAAGAACAGGCCCAAGCCAGAGGATGTGCAGAAGGTAAGGAATGTGATGGGCGTTAGGGCCGCTGAGGAGGAGCCCTAAGTGTTGGCTCTGCACCCAAAGGCGCCCCACAGAGGGAGGCAGGGAGCAGAGTTGGTATATTCTGTTGCCGTTGGCACACTAACTCAGTAGGCACGCCCAGAGTCAGGAGGGCACCATTCCAAATGGGCACAGTGACCCTCAGGAAGATCCAGGAGGACCCTAACACCCCTCCAACCCAACATGCCTCAGGACTTACCACCCTTGCCCAGGGAGAGAAGAGGCAGCACCCAATGCCTGTTTCCTGCAAGCCGCTTACTTACAGCAAGTAGGGTCCCACCAACCCCCGAAGTCCCAGCCTTCTAAGGGTCTGTCTGGTGAGAGGAGAAACACCCCCCTCCCCCCCGCAGTGGGTGACACTTGCTGAGCAGGAGATGCAGGTACTACCCAAGGCTCACTCTGACAGCCGACCAAGGGACAGAAAGGGTCCCTCTTCTGGCCTCAGTGAGCCCAGGCGGTGAGCACTTTCAGCCTCTCACGGGCAAGAGCGATGGATGACGGCACTGCAGGTGCCGGCCCAAGCTCAATCACTGGCCCCAACAGGGCCCCTGAGTCAATCAGGAGTGACCCCTGAGCTCAGAGCCCGGAGCAAAAGGTAAAATGTCTCAGCAAAGAGAACCCGGGGAGAAACAAGACGCCCTTACCTTTGATTTCTCCGGCCCGGGCTTTCTTGTAGAGCCCTTTGACATCTCTCTGTTCACACACGTGCAGGGGGGCATCAACAAACACTTCAAAAAAGGGTAAGCTTGCACCCTCGTGGATCTGCCTCGCATTGTTGCGATCCTTCCAAAGAGAAAGACAGGGACAAGAGCATCAGAAACCTGCTCTACGATCAGAGCTGCTACATTATTAGTAGGAACAAGCAAAGGCATTTTATGGGGGCCAGAGCCAAGCTCAACAGGCTGAGCACAAACTTCACCTGCAGGAGGCCTGGGGTGATCCCCAGTAACGTGCCATCCAAGCACGGAGTCAGGAGCTGCCCCCAAGCACTTAAAATTTAAAAAAAAAAAAGTGATTTTTTAACAGAGTTAAAAAAAAAAATCACTGATGAAATTCAATTCTTATTTTTAAAATATAAACAAAAGGGCTAAAGAAGTAGTCCAGGGGTTAAGACACTTGTGCAATGCTTGTGATGGTCCCTGCAGCAGAGACTTCTAAGCACAGAACCAGGAGTGAGCCCTGAGCACTTCTGGATATGGCCCCAAACAAAGCAACATAAAGTTGAACTTTTCAGCTGAATAAACTGAGAGTTTCCGTGGTCTGTGAAGGGGCAAGAAGACGCCACAGAGATGGTAGCACAGCAGGGAAGGCTCTTGCTCTGCACTGCTGACCTTGGTCGGTCCCTGATACCACGCATGGTCCCCCGAGCTCAGACACAGGAGTCAACCTGAGCACCACGGGTGAGGTTCCGGAACCACAAACATAATAATAATGAAAAAATAAAGGCGAGTGCTTATGCAAAGGAAATAAAGTGGCAGGAAGTGTGTGTTGAAATTGCAGGAAAAAAGCTGAGGGGCACGAGTCCTGTTAACGACGCAAACTCTGGGGAGAGATGGCACAGGGGTGAGGGCAGAGGACTCCACGCGAGAAGCCTGGCTCAATGCCCTCCACCTGTCCCACGCACACAGAGCCAAGAACAACCCCCAAGCACTGACAGGTACGGCCTGGAACCAAAACGAAAAACAAACAAACAAACAAACAAACAAAAAGAACCTGAGTGTTTTCCTTCCTCTCTGTTATATACTAAGTGTTCCCGATCAGCTACTGATTGAAAAGTCGGGGCTAAATGGATTGGCCTTTGGCCTGAGAATGACTGTCAGGTGGGGCAGGTGGCAGGTTTTATACAAACTGGATTTACTCAGAGAGGCAGAGCAATAGGATGCTGCGGCTGCTAGTGAACCTGGGCTTGGCCTCGCTGCATGTGACCGAGCAAGACTCTGCCTGAGGTGTGTTGGCAGGAAGGGTATTAACAAAAGCACCAGCTCAAAAGCTACCGACCTAAGGGTGGGATGGGGTGGAGGTGATGGGAGGGATCCTGGGAACATTGGTGGTGGAGAATGGGCACTGGTGGAGGGATGGGTGTTCGATCATTGTTTGAGTGAAACCTAATCACGAAAGTTTGTAAGTCTGTAACTGTATCTCATAGTAATACATTAATATTTAAATAAAATAAAATACAGCTACCAACCTGCGCATAGGGAGAAATGAAACTTGTGATGCACACCAGGCCCGCGTCTGCAAACAGCTTGGCAACCTCAGCGATACGGCGGACGTTCTCTTCTCTGTCCTCGGGGCTGAAGCCGAGGTTCTTGTTGAGGCCCTGGCGGATATTGTCACCATCCAGGGTGTAGCACGGGATGCCGTGGCACACCAGGTACTCCTCCAGTGCCATGCTTACCGTGGTCTTCCCTGCGCCAGACAAACCTGCAACAGAACCGGCCCAACAGATCCCAAGTCAGAGCCAGGACAATGGCTAGTTAGCAACAAACCGTTTCCATCACAGGTGTAGATGCATCCATGATTCGATGAACACTTGGGAACACGCTTAAGCAATATTCTAAGGTTCTCTTTCCATCTAGAAAACACTCAGTAGTTTAAGCGTCTACCTATAAGCGGCACTTGCCTATGCCCAAAGCTATCCTTAGAGGCCACTGATCTTTGGAGCGTCCCATTATGCTATCAGCCACAACCGAGCCTCGGTCACCGCTATTCTAATGCCGCAGACCAGCTTCCAAAGTGCTCAGACCCAAATTAATTCTTCCGAGGGTAAAGAAAGGACATGAGTTAGTCAAATAAGCACTAAGAAGTTACCTTTATCAGGCATCAGGATCAACAGCTCTCATAGAAACCATGATAAAAATATCTGGGATTCAATTTATACAGTCACTAACCTGGGAAGATTATCCCCAGCCGAATCCAGCTTTTTCCAACAACACTGGTAATTCCCTCAACAATGAGAAATCAGGGAAAACGAAAGGATCTATTTCTGTACTAATATCTGCTACCTTGGTAAGTGCAAGATTACAAAATTCACAGAGTAGGCAGTTATGTGGCAAAAGTCTATGATTGGTCCTATGGAGATATTTGGAAAACTGAAGTCTAATGTACTCACAGTCTTTACAGAGATCATATGAGTAGTAAGGTTAAGTGAAGGGGGAAAAAAAACAGAAAAGACGATATGCTGTGAGGTTAAATACAATGGTTAAAATAAAACCTGTTCAGGAGTCAGGGAGACAGCTAAAACAGGCGGTGTGTATGTTCTGCAAGCAGGGGACTCGGGTTCCTGGCACCCCATGGTCTCAAGTCCTTCCTGTTGAATGACCTCCGAGCAGTACGCTGGCAGTAACCCCTGAGCACCATCGGGTATGTGCCCCAACACAAAATCTAGTAGTAAAACAAACAGCAGAAAGGATTTTCCAAAGATATCACAAGAGAATTTCCAGCCAACTGGAGCTGCCCCAGCGTGGCACTTCTGGGGGAGGAAGAGGCTGAGTCTGATCTGCAGCCTTGAATCAGGCTGGCCGGAGGACCCGCCTAAGGCCAGAAGAAGGGGTGATGATGACCGAGGCTGCTGGGGCCCACTCATGGGGACCCGAGTGATAGTAAAGCAGGGAGGGCATTTGCCTTGCACATAGCCAACCTGGGTTTAATCCCCGGCATCCCATATGGTCCCCTGAGCACCACCAGGAGTGATTCCTGAGTGCAGAGCCAGGAGGAACCCCTGAACAAAGCCGGGTGTGACCCAAAAAGCAAAAAATTTAAAAAAAAAGAGACCACTGCTCAGAAAGAGAGAGAGAGAGAGAGAGAGAGAGAGAGAAGGAAAGAAAGAAAAAAAGAAAGAAAGGAAAGGAAAGGAAAGAAAGAAAGAAAGAAAGAAAGAAGTAGAGAGAAAGAAAGAAAGAGAGAAAGAAAAACAGAAAGGCTACGAGGCTCTCTCTGGACATGGCTAGGGAGGAGTCAACTAGCGAACAGCCATTAGTCCATGGTCCAATGGGCAGAACGTCCTTTACTCAGCCCCCAGTTGACAAGCTGTGTCGAATGAGGGACCCGTCGCGGGAACCAAGCTTGGCCCCCAGCAGCCAAGAGGAACCCAAGGAATGAGGCCCTTCCAAGCACCCCGCAACCCTGACCCACAATCGCAAAGTGAATTACAATGTGGTTTGACACCCCTGGGCTTTGAGATGTGGTCACAACGCAACAATAAGCAGAACAAAGACAGCAGCCAGGGAGCCTGGGGCGCGTGGGGTGTAGCTGACTAACTGCCAAGCACTCAGTGACCGGAAACCCTGGACCTGCACATTTTCTATTCAGCCGAGACTCTGACTGTTTGGTGCCACATCCAGCGGGAGGGAGACTCCTGGCCGAGTGGAGAGTGGGGTGAGTGGGGGACGCTCACGTCAGGGCTCAGGAGACTGTGTGGTGCTCCGGATAGAACGTGCGAGCACACAAGTGCTAAGTCCTCTGAGCCATCTCCCTGGCCTGCAAGCAAAACCCGTCCCCCAAAAAGAGAAAAAAAGCAAGTCAAGACTGCTGGAGAAGATGGTGAGAACCTGAGGGCACTGGGTCTCCAAACTTCTGAGGAAGAGGGCAGTGTGCGGTGAGCTCACCTGGGAGCCCAGAAGCAGATGGACACCCCCACCCCGGGATGCCCTGGGGAGGGTCCCTTACTCCGAAGCACACAAAATCAATGGCCCCTGCACGGGGGCCTGAAAGAGAAAGGTAAGAAAGAAAGAAAGTACAGGAAAACAAACTATTATTCAGGCACTGGGGAAAAACGGACTTGTCTCACAATTCTTCACAACATTTCAAATCTGAGGACCATGAAGTAATGATTTTAGAATTCCAAGACAAGAGAAAGGAATGGGGGGAGGGGAGAGACAGCAAGAGAATGAGAGATAGCAAATGAGGGAGCAAGCCAGAAAGAGAGAGAGAGAGAGAGAGAGAGAGAGAGAGAGAGAGAGAAGAGCTTTGAGCTGAGAGAATGTCTTACAGGCAGGAAGCCCAGGCCTGAAGTCTAGCACCTCCTGTGTCCCCAAACACAGAGCTGGGGAAAAGCCCTGGGCACCACCAAGAACCAACAAAAAGAATTCCAAGACCAGTGATCCTTCAGCAGAGGCAGGAGCAGTAAGCCCTGAGCTCTCCTGCTGTGGTCTTAAACAGATGAACAAAACAAGAATTCCAAGACAAGAAAGTCTAAATCGAGTCTCCATTCTACACAACCAAGTTGTCATAAAAAAAAAAAAAAAGACAGGACAGGAGTGATAGCACAGCGGGTAGGGTGCCCGCTTTGCACACATCCATGCCTGGTTTGGTCCCCTAAGAACCTCCTGGAGTAACCCTGAGCGCGGAGCCCATAGTAAATTTTGACACTGCTGGGTGTGACCCCCGAACCCCCAAATGAGCAGACTTTCTCAAATAAGACTCAGGAAATTCAGAATCCAAGGAAAGACCAGCCAGCAGAAGTCTTAGCAATACATTTTATAGCAATAAAACAGACAATTAAATCAGAGATGGGGTGAGTTCTGGGTGGCGCCGTAATGGGAAGACTGAAGGTGAGCTGGATGGAATTCTTTATGGGCCTCAAATCACAGGATTATGGAAATTTAAAGATTTGAGAACAGAATGAGTGTTGTACCCTGGACAACAGTGTAGATTTAAGAACAAGGCAAGTGGAAGAATGTGGGAATTCTGTTTTTACATAGAAACACTTAAACTCTTAAAAAAAAAAAAAAGGGGAGAAGCAGAAAATGGGAATCTGGGGTTCACTTTTTTTTTTTGCCCGAGGAAAAACTGTGAGGGTGAGTAATACTCGTGTTGACAAAGACAAGATCTTACATTGTTGGTAGAAGCTCAAACGGGTCTAAAATTTTAGTGGGTAATTTGAGGCAATGCCTCTGATTTTTTAATACAATTTCTATATTAAAAGCATGCATGCTCCAAATTTCCACATGCTTTCCTCCAAGTTCACAGCTATCTATAAAGATGACTTCTAGAGGCTGGAGCAATAGCACAGAGGGTAGGGCTTTTGCCTTGCACGTTCCAACCACTAGTTTGATTCCAAGGATCCCATATGGTCCCCTGAGCACCACCAGGAGTAATTCCTGAGCATCACCGGGTGTGACCCAAAAAGAAAAAAAAAAGTGACTTCTGAACAAACCAGTTTCCCTTTCTTACTGTACCTGTTAGCCAAACCGTGCAGCCTCGGAAGCCGCCCCGGGTGCCGACCACCTGGCCTCGCTTGTTCCTGCTGACGTGGTGGGCTTGGTAGGTGACGTTAGTGGCCCGCTGCATGCCCTGGGGAGAGAAAGAACTGTGGTTCACAGGGGCTCGCACAGGAAACGCGGATTCCCGCATAACTCAGTCACACTGCCCTAGTCCAGCGCACCCAAGGCCAGGGGAAAGGTTCAGATGACGGCGTCTCTTCTTCTTTAGAGCTACTGGCCTGGGGGCCAGCACATCACATACAAAATTAATCACCACAGCCACCCACGGATGCAGGAACTGTATTACTGTGCTGAGGTAATGAGGACAAACCTGAGAAAGGTCAACAGCTTTCCTGAGCCTAAGCAGAAACAGGGAACTGGACACTTACTCTCGTCTTCCTTCAACCTGGCCTTGCAGAGACCCTCTGGAGCGCATTCAGCTGACAACACGGGGGGGCCAGAGAGATAGTCCAGAGTAAGGCACTTGCCTCCATGTAGCTGACCACATCAGTTTGATCCCCAAAACTGCATATGGTCCCCCCCTGAGCACCAACAGGAGTGACTGCTGAGCGTACAGCTAGGCATAAGCCCAAAGCATCGCCAGCCAGCTACACCTCCAAAACAAAACACAACCTTACAACACAGTTTAAGTTGTTGTCTTCTCAACAACTCCCTGGAGGGTCAGTGCCAGGGGGGCTCCCGCCTTTCAGTTTGAGAGCCAGCTCAGAGGACGGCTGTGCGCTTGGCTGATGAGGTGGGTCAGCATGTCTGTACACTGGGCTGCAGCCGGCCGGACAGGCCAGAGTCCTGTGCTGTGACACTGCCGTGACCCCATGCAGAGGTGGGGACACAGGAGAGGCCGGAGGATATCCAAAGAGAGACACCAAAGTGGGACGGCTTGAGAAGAACTGCCAGGTCATCCTGACAAGACCCTCCAAGTTAGCAAAGACCCTCTGGGGGTGGTCGGAGACGCTGTCTCCACTCCACATCCATGGCCCTAACCCTCTCCCTGGGGAACTCGGGGCCCTCACAGGGAGAGAGGCCCTTCCCCTTGGGAACCCAACAGCTGAGAAAATTCTCCGGCCCCTGCTGCTGGTGGGCAGTGAATCAGCTCTGGGACTCCCATCCCCCTCCACGGTGACTGAATAAGTTCCGGTTGATGCTGTGTGTTGGACCCCCCCCCACCCCCCCCCCACACACACACAATGGCTTAGCTCCACTCCTGGGTCACAGGTCAAGAAAGAGCTTCCAGGGGGGCCGGCGGAGAACACAGACAGGAAGGCACTGGCCTTCCATGCCGCCTTCCCGGGTTCAACCCCCATCATTGCATGTGGTTTCCCAAGCTCTGCCAGGAGTGATTCTGAAGCAGAGCCAGGAGTTACCCTGAGCATCGCCAGATGTGGTCCCTGACAAGCAGCTCAGCTACAAGAGTCGACTCGTGTCCTCAGACCCACCAGAAGGGCCACAAGAAGGGTCTTTATGGGGAAAAGACAAGACCCAAGGTGAGCTGCATACCTCTGGGCACCAGGACGAACCATGGGATGTCCCTGGTGGCGAATCTTGGAGGTCACTGCCTTATCTACAAATTGAAGGATCGCACAGGGGGCGGGGAAAACTCTCCTGCTTCTAGGTTCTGGGCAAGCAGAGTCATGCTGATCTGACACTCGTCGGGCTGGTCGAGTCAGTGCTCTGCTTTGGCCAGGGCTCACCCAAATAAAATCAAATTGCAATTACATGCAATGGGACCGAGTCACTAAATGAAACTGCCACTTCCTGTAGTCCCCCACGCACTGCAACCAGATACAGGATAAATTCGGGGCATCACACGGGGTTAGACCAGTCCCCTAAAGGAAAAACCAAAGGAAAAACGCAAAAGGAGATCAGCAGTCAACACCATGAAGGGTCAGGTATCCCATGAAGGATCACACCATGGTTGGCCACGGAGAAGGCAAAGGCAGGCGAGGCGCACAGAACAGAAGGCAGGCCGGGGGGCAGGCCCTGAAGGCGAGTTTCAGGGAAATCATAAAACCCAGATATGGTCTGAAAAGGAGCCACTCGGCCAGCCCAGCCCACAGAGCTGCACCCGCCCCAGGAAAAGAGTCACAGGACCGCAGCCGATGAGGAACCCGCAGAGGAAGGTCTCTGAGATGAAAGAGCATCAAGGTTCCGCATCCTTCCCGGGGCAATGCCCTGAGGAGGACTCACAGCAAAGTTCTTGGAAGAGGCCTGCAGGCTGCTCAGGGCTAAATGCCCCTTGAATGGCCTCTTGTCCTCTCTTTGTGCTTGGTCACTCTCACCTGCGCGCCTTGGAGCACTTGGGCCTTTCCCAGTCAGAGTGATGCCAGCATCTGGACACCGTCTATGTCTCTCTCTCTCCCCCTTCTGCACCTTTCTGAATAAGCTTTGTTTGATAAAAACCATCTTACTTCAAGAAGGAAGGCAGGAAGGCAGGAAGTAAGGGAGGAAGGAGAAAGAAGGAGGGAGGGACAGGAGGGAGGGAAGGAGGGAGGAAGGAAGGAAGGAAGGAAGGAAGGAAGGAAGGAAGGAAGGAAGGAAGGAAGGAAGGAAGGAAGAGGGAGAGGGAGAGGGTGAGGGTCGGGTCTCTAAAGGTCAGTGGGAGAGTGAGGGGTCAGATCTGAGAGACAGTAGGAAAAGACTGAGGCTGGATCTCAATTCTCTCTCCCCTGAGCACTCTGCCCAGTGAGCTCTCTCTCCCTGAGCTCTCTCTCCTGACCTCTCTCTCCCTGAGTTCTCTCTCCTTGATCCCTCTACCCTGAGCTCTCTCTCCTCTGAGCTCGCTCTCCCCCTGAGCTATGTCTTCTCCACTTAGCTATCTCTACCTTTTGAACTCTTTGCAAACTTAAACTTGAAAAAAAGAAGAAAGGAAAGGAAAAGATTTTCCATAATCTCCTGTCACCCAGCTCTTTTCAGAATAAATAAAAGAACCACTAGCATTCAAAGGCGGTGAGCATATGCCTGATATCCCTGTGCACCGCAGTCAATTCACAATCTTCTCTTGCTCTTCTTTCTTTTCCCTCCCCCCCCCCCACTCTGGCCAAGTGATCCCAAACAAGACAGCAGTGACTCACTGGAGCCAAGCGTGGGTTATTTCTCTCAAAACCCTCTGAATTCCAAATGTCCAGCGGGCTGAGGAATTAGGCTGTTTCTCTGCCGACAGCAAGGAGGTATGTAGAAATACCGGTCTGTCTGTCTGGGCGGGCATGCACCAGCCTCGCCTCGGACAGATGATGGGGGTCCCTGGGACTCAACCTGCAGCCCCTTCTCCACACCCGGGAGTCTGGGCTGACTTCTAGGAACAGTGGGAAAAAGTTACAGGGTTCTGATTTCTCCAGAACACCTGAACTCTTTTCCTGTGCCTACTCAAAACTTGGTGAAAGTCAGGAAAAAAGTTAGATACAGGCATGACTTTGTAAAATGCAAGACTGTTCGGGTTCTGACATTTACGGTCGTGGTGGCACAGCACCCTCCCCTCACCACCACGAAGAGCTCAAGTCACCCACCCCCCAACCAGGCAAGTATTTTTAAGTGAGGTTTGTTCCCTGTAAAATGGGCCAGTGGAAGGCTGACATTTTAAGTCATTGCACGAGGGTTAAGCAACTTGCCTTGCACCCTGGTTCAATGCCCAGTCCTCCAAGCTCTGCCAGGGATGACTCCTGAGCACAGAGTCCTGAGGGTATGGCCCCAACGGTCCCAGTGTTTAAAAAAATTAAAAATAAAGATCCTAAGTCTAGCAAAAGCTAGACAATGTTATTTCAGGAGAATTCATTCCATTTATACGTTTGGGACAAGACGAAAGGCACTCCTATCACACACTAACATCACCTGCTCGAGACTTGTGACAGGCGCATGCTTGTAGCATGCTCCACAGACTCCACCTGTCCACCCAAAGGGTGTTGGGTTCCTTGTCTGACCTCCTTAATTTTCACCTGGCTGCCTTGTTTCATCCACTTCCCTATGGGGCAAGTTGACTTCTCCTAGAATGCCATGGAGGTGAGGTGTACCTACCTGTGAGTTCATTAAGATTAAGGGGCCAAAGACATATACAGGTTCACCTGCAGCCAACCGAGGTTCAATTCCCAGCATTGCATATGGTACCCTAGTCAATGCCAGGAGTCACTCCTGAGCACTACCAGCTGTGGCGTAATCCCCAAAAAACACTGAACTGCTAGTTTTTTAACTGATTTTATACTTACAAGTAGAGCCGCAAGGAACATACATCAAATATCAAGTGCAACTCCAGACCCGATATCTATTTCCCATCCCACAACCCACCTGAGGCATCTGCAGAGTCCCTCAAATGGTTCCCAGCACATTTCTACATTCTCAAGACTTAAAAGGAGAGAACAATGAGGGTGGATTGAAGGGACGGTTATGTGCCGTGAGAAGAAATCTTTAGATCTCAGAAGTACTAAAAACTTAGTTCAGTGCTGATCAGCGAAACCAAGCTTCAGAACACCAACAAGCCAGGACAAACCACGCAAGTGAGTAAGCTCCTAATCGCAAGCAAGTCAAGAAAACCCGCCCAAGTCCAGCTTATTTTGCAGCGGGAAACTGCTTGAAAAGACACTTGGAACCTCTGACAGCAAGCCTGGCAACAAGCAGGAAAGACCTGCTGGGGGTCAGGGGGCACATCTCGGGTCCCCACCTCAGGTCACATGAACCAGTCTGCCTCCCTATGACCACTCACTGTCCAGCCTCATCGCTCAGACTTCTGGCTTGCCAGCTGCTCTGTCTTAAAGGTGAAAGACATTCGAGTACTGATGTCATGAGTAAAGGCGCCTGGGTGACCCCCACGGGGTGGCCCTGGACCATGTCTCAGATGTCAGAAATAAGTCAGAGACTCCCTATTCATTCTTGACATTTGTGTTGATGGATCCTTAGAGATCCTAGGGATGAAACAGCAGAAAAGCATTTCAGAGACAAACCCTAAATAGGCAAAGACATCAATGGGCAGTGGATGATCTGGCCCCCACCGTGGCTAAAACAGGTCATTTCCTGCCCATCTGAAGGGGTATAGGGGCTGTGCAGCCGGAGATACCACCATTCACTCCAGACATTGAAGTAACAATG